GTTATTAGACAAATTAATTAAAACAGCCACTACTTGTTTAGGGGTGGCCATTTATACCCCTTGGCCCCCACTTGGTGGCACCCCTGCCAAAAACAGGGGACAAGTATTAGAAATTAGCTTAAAGGTTCACAAAGTTAGGGGTTTAGACTCCAATGTTGGGGTTTTGTGAAACGCCATGTTCAATATATAGAATAATATTCAGAAATTAAATAAAATAAATATTTGCCAACAACATTGGGGTCAGTAGTAAAATTTATGGTTTTAGCTCCCGAGCTGATTCACTAAACATTGTGTTTGATTGTTCCAACCCATTTACTGTGCAGAACATAGAAACTAATATAAAATATACATTTATTGTAACATACCATAGCTTTTTACCCTTGACTCTTTGTTTTAGTCTTGACTGTAACCCATCATCCCCATCATCATCTCCAGAATGCATTGCATCAGTCAAAAAATGGTGACATGCTTAAGTGAAAAATGTATATTTTTAAGTAATTAGATGTTTTCACATGTCACAAACAACAACTTTTAGTAGAACAGAGAAATAACATTATGAGGCCAAAATGTTCAAATAGTTGAAGATATATATTTAACAAAACTTAAGTTTAGATGCTCAAAATGTCACATTTATTTTATGACTTTGCTTTTGTAAAAATATTACTTTAGTGTTACAGAGTTTTTCTGGAGAGAGATCCAAAGCAGAAATTTTATTTTATTTTCTTAAGATACTTTTTTTCCTTTCATGTCTAAAGAATTGAGTTTCACAACTTCAAAGAAGAGTAAAAGATACTGCAACATACTAAAATACTTAACTTTATGTTGTGAACTAAACRTGTTAATGTTTTTACAGGGTATAGGGTAGCTCAGGGGTCAGTGCAACAATCTTGTAATAATGCTGCAGGTTTGAGATCAAGGTTGTCAGGACGGTCGCTCACTGTGGCAGCCCCCTGAAGAATGGAGCGGCAGAAAGAAAAACAAGAGCTTGACCTTTGATTGGCACTCCAGTATAGAAATAATGACCATTTAACAAACGTGACTCTGGGACAATGGTTGCTTATGGTTTGCTGAATCATTCGACATCATTAGTAGCAGGAGTGTGGAGCTGAGAGGACGGCCGCCTAATCGTTTACAAAGCTCGCTCCATTCCATGCAGTTTCCACAGAGATATCTGTCAGCGACGGCCAGCCTCGGTGCGATGATGGACAAGAGGGCACGCTGCCCTGCAATGCAACACACCAGCCACCAGGAGGGACTGCGGTATGAGCAAACCACCACAGCAGGTACTTGTTTCAGGATAAATAAGACTTATTGGGGCCCCGAAGGAGGTGCACGACTGATTACAGAGCAGGCCGTGGGAGTCCTCGTAAACAGGGGGCAGATGTAGCAGAAACCAGGAGAGGAGAAGTGTGTGTGTGTGTGTGTGTGTGTGTGTGTGTGTGTGTGGTGGGGGTTGAGACGAAAGAGAAGAGCAGCAGAATTTGATACGAGCCCCTCGGAGGCAGCCAGCAGCAAAGGAGGAGTAGAGCAGATGCTCTATGTGGGAGGAGGGTGCCTCCGGTTACTCCCCCCACCCTCACCCACCTTTCTCTTTAAAATGACTGCTCCTGGTTCAAACATTCACCCTCACAGAGCTTCTGTGAAGAGGCAGGAAAAACCAGGACACCATCGGTACTTTAAACTGTTTATTTTCTATTAAAAATGTGTTTGTTTTTGTTTGTCTACAGCTAAAAGCGACACCGAGGTGTAAAGTAAACAGTGCATCAAACCAAAGACATGTGCAGGAAACAAACTTTAAAAGGTCCTCACTGCCAAGACACATTACTGGGAAGGTTTTATTTCTTATTCTCAATTTTTTTGTCCTGTCTTTAAGACTTCACAATGAGTACCTTTGAATTAATTATTTTAAAAGCTCTTACTCACATACTGTAAATAATGGCACTGAAGGTGCAAAACTACGGAAGCCCCAAAAGGCCATACCTGCTTTATTTATTTTGATGACATCGTCTCAAGATTGCAAATTAACTTACCTCAAAAAATACTTTTTATCTCATCTCATGAGAATGTATTTTCTAAAGAAAAAATGTTTTTGATTGATTGATGAGTGACACTTACTGCCCTGTCACACTAACATTTTAGACAACGTCTGCCAACTTATGAACATTTTAAAGACATCTACACTGAAGACAGAATCAAAAAAATCAACTGGAAGCCTTTTTTAGGTGTGTACATAATGTAATGCTAAGAAATTGATCTAATATATAACTTCTTAGTAATTTAGACATAAAAAATGTCATAAGTTGTCTAAAACATAGTGTGACAGGGTCTAGGATGCTAGTTCTTCTGACTTTTTTCAGCTTGAATCTGATCAGGTACGGTTTYGTTTAAATGTGAGTTTGAAATGATTTTTTAGTTACAGTATCAGTATAAACAAGATTTATTAGGTGGTAATCACTAAATGTGACTCGTACTGACCAATTAAATGAAATTAAGGTATTTTCAATTTTGAGTTGTTATTTTCAAATTCTCCACTGACAAAGCTTCAAAATGATAGTTTATTGAAACTGGATTTATCAGCTGAGCTGGTAACAAACTAGTTCTGTTTATGAGAAAAGCCAGTTTTAAAACTTAGTTTTTATTGGTCAGGAGTGATGTTTTKGGGAATTCCAGCAATATATTTAAAAAAAGAAAGTTTAGCAATGACAAACATTATATGAAGGGATTTCTCATTTTTACAGCAGCCAGCAGAGAAAAATGGTCCATTTCAAAGGAAATTATGAGAAATACGAGACTAAGAATTATTTCTGAAGAGTTTAATAAACTTTGAATTTAAAGTGGATTAGGAGGATTATAAGCTGGGTCCAGTGAACTGATGATAAATGTCAGTCACAGGTTATTTAACTGCATTTTGCAACCTCGACAAAAATAATTAAATGAATAAATAAATAAATAAACAAATAAATAAATAAACAGCCAAAAGAAAAACAAAACTAATCAAATAAACACTATTATCTCAACATAATGAGATAAATAACTTCATTGAGTAAATGAGCTTTTCTACTCAGTCATTGAATATAATATAATCAATGAAACCAGCAGCGCCCTGGCCACCTGAGCTCATTCTGAACGTCCAGGAACATTTATTTAATTGTTTATGGAACCACAGAGGTCAAAGGTCACATGGTGGTCTGGTGACAGGAAGCAGATTTGTGTGTCGTCAATCCTTCCATTTATTGGACCTATTTTCTGATGTTGATTGTTCATCAGTGAATTAATAACATATAATTGGGACAAAATGATATTTGTTTCCATCGTAATGAAAACAAAAGAACTAAAAAATCAATTGTTTRAACTAAAAAGATGAAGTCTTTTCAAGAAGTTGAGGTTTTTCGGGTCAAAATAATTAAATATACGAACCTGTTTTTACAACTAATGGTGAGATATGGAGGTAACTCGTTATCTTGAGATAAGGTCATGAAAATCCTTTTCATAAGCATGTCCTCTGTTGGCCTCTGTACAAARCATCCTATAATATTACACAATCCCTTCATAATAAAATGCATGCCGTCTGCAGCTTCTGACAACATAAACACTAGTGTATCTTTTTTCCTTTCAATCACAGTTTCTTTCAACATGCTGGAGGAAAGCAGAGCATCAAATCATTCAGCAGTAACAACATAATCTAACGGCGTAATAAGAAGCTCGGCTGAATAAATTGCGGGCGCTAATTAACACTTCATTAGCCAAGCTTGGAGACATTACTGTAGTTGTTTCCCTCCACGCGCCACTGTTGCAATACAATTACTGCTTCGTGCAACTTTTTTTATTGAGCTTCCCTGCTGCTGCCAGGATCATCTTCCCTTATGGCTTATCGAGGCCAGGTTCTGTTTACTTACACGATGTATATCTAACAGCATYGTAAAGGGAATTTACTATTTATAGTGCGTACGTGCTAAAGCTGGGTTGGGCTATTTGCTTAAACCACATAAAGTGAGACGGTTTTCCTTCCTTCCTCCTGTTCGTTGACGATTGATAAGTCGTGCTTGGCGCGGCCGGGGACCCGGGTCCGTTAGCTTCATCTCAGGCACCTTCAGATGGCGGCGGCGAAAAGAAAGATCTGGATGAGCGGCATGAYCTTGAGAGTGGAAAGGTCGGCGAGGACGGCCTGTTTGACCAAAACAAAAACAAAAAAAACGACGTTACGCCCAAGAAGCCCAATAAACCTGAGCAATAAATTAAAACAAAGCAGCGTGCATGATGATGATGATGATGATGATGATGATGATGATGATGATGATGACAACGATGCCAGATCCCTTGGAGGCGACAATCCAAGCTTCCCTTTCCTTGTCCCTTTTGGAATCACTCGAGGATTAAATTTAGAGACCCTATCATGTTTAGAAAGAYGGTTTAAAATTTCAGGCCGGGAGGTTCTAAATTTAAGAGGAGCGGTGGAAGATGAGCTGGCAAATAGTGCCTCCACCGTTAGAGGAGGAGGAGGGCAAAAAGGGCAAAGGGTGAAGAATTTACAAGAACTGTATTAGGGGTTATGATAACAATGCAAGGCTAAACCCTGTTTGTCTGGCTTTCTTGATGAACTGCAGAAGTTAACAGCTCAGCAGAGGCTGATGTGAAAATTGAAGACCCAGCATTCCATCGAGGAGTGCATGTCGCCAGCTGCCTTTCATTCCTGAGACTTAAACTAAGATCAGCTCGTGTTAAGAATTCACAACGTTGTAGCCATTATGGTCATGTCATATTGAAAAATGTCGCACATAGAATATGTGTCGCGAATTACTTCCACACCAAACTTTACCTCACTACGGCTGTGTCCAAGTTTCAGGGGCTGCGTCCTTCRATGGAYGAATTTGTTGGCCRATTACGGCACAGCGATGCGCCRAAGGCTGTCCAAATTTTAAGGCTCCTCCGATTGCTGCCCACAAATGCGTCCTCCTTTCCCCCCGATTTCAGGGACAGGTCGGGTGTATCCTTCACAGCCTTAACCAAGACGCACTGCGGGCCAACCGGGAGATTTTTTTTGCTTGTAATGGCGGACGAAACAAGAGATGGAGCGAAACAGGAGTACAGTTTTGAATAAAAATCTGTCGGAACCAAAATTTAAAGTTTAAAGCGATTCGGTTGTTAGGMTTTTACTGCAAAAACTGTCCATCTTACCAAGTTTTAAAATCTTATATCCAGCCAGAAAGTCTTTTTGATCATGAAATGAGACTGATTTACYAAASAAGAACTGATTGTGTAAGAATAATRATCTTGTTTTCAGAWTGTGTAAGATTATTTGTCTTGTTAGCCTGAAAATTTGAATCAAATTCAGACAAAAAA